ACATATTACAGACATTAGTTCTGGGCATAAAGAGATACTGCTGTATAATTCATGTTAAGTACAGCTTAAAAGCATTTATTGCTTTTTTAAAAAAAGCAGTGAGAACAGCTGACTTAAATGGCTTGCCCGATCCCAGAAGCTTTAAGTGCTTTCTCTGTGCCCTAATTCTACAACACACACGAGAGTTCCAGCAGGTCTTTGCCTTATTTCACATCGTCAGCAGACCATTACTTTGCAGTAATTTACAGGCAAGTGTTCAGAAAACAAGCTCAGGGTTACACTGTCCAAGCAGTGTAAAATCTAGGATTGCTTGGTGCTACTTCCAAATTGGTTAGAAGAAAAAATGCCATTACTTAAATGCTCAAGATATTAGCCTCTATCTAGTAAAGAAAAGTTATTTTGGCTATCAGCTTGTAAGCTACCCTGCTCAGCGATCAGAAGCTGCTCAACTAACTTACTTATCTAAATAATTTGACACAGAGGAACAATCGTCTGGAATCTCAGCTGCTGCATGCTGTGGCCTTTCATTTACCCGACGGCCTGTAAAAGGAGAGGAAAAAAAAATCACATTTCAATTAATTTTTGTGCATGCAGAGAACCACTGCTTCTCCCTATCTTAACAGCAACAGACCTAATAGCAGTTTCCATGTTGGAAGACAAACACGGAAGGACATCATACCTAAAGGCAGCTGGAAAACTGCAGCTTTGGTGATTGGGCATTTATAAGAGTTTCGTGATTATTTTGAAAATGCATTAAGTGATTTACTTTAGGTTGGAGAGAAACCAAAAATGGTCTGAAGCCAAGTCACTTTCATTTGTTATTAGATGTTAAGCAGTTAACTGATGGAAAGGTTATTGCTTTTTTAGTAAACTTAACAGTTATCTCTAGGACAGGCAGAGCTTCAGCCAATTCCAAGTACTCAGGCATTTGACTCAGATGATTCAATAGTCAATTAAGCATCTACCACACCTCAGGAATAACTTGAAATTCCTCTCTACTCCTTATTGTTATTTGAAGCTACTTACTTTGATTCTCCGACTTCTGAAAATCAGATTCTTTTTCCTATTGAGCAGAGAAATTTAAATTAGTACTTTTCTTAATGCCTGCGACGCTTTCCAGGGATAAGGAGAATAGATTATATCCCAAATTCTCTCTGGAATTAAGGATTTGGGAGCAGAGCCAATACTTCACACTGCCGGTGCCTCTGGTCCTACAGTGAGTCTTTCAGCTATTAAGGCAGCAAATGTTTGCTGAGCAGGGAGAACAGTCCTAGCACCTGGCTGTGAAGTGGCTGTTACCTTCCCGAGACCCAGCTGTGGAGCCTGTCGAGGCGCAGAGCCGCAGGCGCCTGCGGGCTCTGGAGGCGCTCGGCACCGCTCCTGCTCTCTGGCTGCTGCAGTTACACTTAGACCTCCTGGAAGCACTCACAGAGTTGCCATAATAGGGACAAAGCTGCTATAAACGAAAGGAAAAAACCAGGATACTTAGGAAAAAACAAACTGCCAGATTTAGAAGCTGGTTGCTAAGGAGGACAGATGTTTCTTTGGTGTGTGTCATGGAGACCTCTTTAATATCATCTCATTACAGATCATCTCAACCTGGGGTACCTGAGGAGAAACACAACACAAACGGATCAAACAAAAAACAAACAACAGCCCTAACCTTTCCAGCTTGAACTTCTGCTTGTATCTCCTTTAAAGCTGCCAGCTGCCCTTGCAGAACTTTAATTTCGTCCAGCTTCTGTTTCTCTGCTTCTTCTGTGGCTGCCTTTTTCTGTGCCTGTGTCCAGAAACATTCCTTCAATTACAACAGCTTTTGAGCCATCACTCATATAAGGGAGATTGCACACAGAAAAACAGCATAGAACAAGTGATCAGCGATATTGTTTTTAGACTAATTATAGCAACACTCATTAAGATATTCTGCTATACGTGTTGTTCAGTATCTCATAGAGCGATGAAAACAACACATTGCTTAGTTGAATACCACATTTAAAGTAGCTGCATATGATATCTACAACCTTATATTACATACCCTAATTTCAGCTTCAGTAAGTTTCCCATCTATTTTATTAAATCCATCAAAAAGTGTTTTATAGAGAACAGCCTTGCGAGTGTTTGCATCATCTGGAGGAAGATACTCCAATATAGCAGCCTTGTGCTTCCTATACATATCAAAGATGATCCGCAACGCTGTATCACGCACTTCACAGACTCTGTGTTCCAAAGCGCCTGTTGCAAACTGAAAAAGGGAAACAAACCAAAAAAACCCAAAAACCCAAAAAAACAAAGTGTTTTTCTCACATTCCCCCATTTTTTAAAATACTTGTTTTTAGTCTAAGGCAACTATGCCATTTCAGTGGGAGAAGCCTTTACGCAGAGTTTTTTCTCCGAACAGATTTTGACCAACTGATGCTTTTTCCATGTTGCCATCACGCTTCCTCACACCACTGCATGGCGTCGCCTCCAAGAGGCTCCTTAGTTCTCTTGGAAATTTACTGACTGCTCCAAAACAGACAGACAAAGCAACTAACCCAACAGCAACAGAAAAGAACTTAAAATGTTGTAAACTTGGACTACTACCTTCATGATGTTGTCAATGGTAAAGCCGGAGTTCTCGGTTCCCATTTCTTTCAAAAGTTTTTCCACTAACTCCACCTGACTCATTGCCAGATGCGTTGGGGAAGTCGGCTTTAGTGGCTGAACCAAATGAACTGGAACAATCTGCAGAGGTTTAACTTCATTACACAGGGCCATTTCCTGCAAACACAGAGAGCCCATTGGGATGTAAGAATACTAAACACGGACGGTGAACTGCCTTTGCAAAGATTCAAAATTACTTTAACAAGTTAACTAAATGACGCAACCCCCCTTAAGAAGTAACTGCTTGTTACTTTAGGAATCAAGTCATTTGCCCTGGCTTCCATGGGAAGATAATGTAGATGTTTGGTCTTGCTTTTGGCAAGAAAGAGAAAGCCACTGAGAAGCAGGTAAAATATTAGATATGTGGAGAAGAGCGAGAGGTGTGGAACTGTGCTGTAAGAAAATTTAAAGAAATCCATCTGACACCGAACTATCCAAGGAGGAAATGAAAAGCATCTCAAAGGATGCCAAGCGTTGACAATGCATCAAGATTGATCTCAGCAGTGCGGAAGACAGATGCCATCGGGTAATTTCGCATTCTATTTTGGAGAACCTCCAAGGCTAACTTCTGTTATTATTCAGAAAGCACTGTTTGTGTCTCTGCCGACAGCAGAGCAACCAACAGCCCGCAGCAGCCTCCTCTGGATCCTGTCAGCTGCCAGGCACTCAAGGAGACCATGGTGTCCTGCAGTTGCTCTCCCTTGCTGAGGGACTCAGTTGTCCCAGGGCTGGTTGGTCAGTCCTGGACACAATTATTTCCATTTGGCATCTTCCCCAGAGAACTGCTCATTAGGGCAGTGTTTATTCTATCAGCACTGATCCAAAGTAAACGTATTTTCCTTCTTCACAGGCCAAGCCCAGCCCTGTCTATGAAAAGGCACCCGTAACCACGCTCTCCTTCCCTTTTAGCAGCCTGCTGTGAACAGGCCAGGTGGTCATCACAGAGTACTCTGTCACCTTTGGGGCTCCAGCAGTTTGCCAGAGCACTTCACACAACACCCGTCCACATTCCTGGTAAACCTACAACGTAAGGAAACTTTCCTCTCCATGCAGATAGACAAGCAAGGCTAAAGAATCAGCTACTACTTTCCTGGGATTGAATTAACACCTATTTTCACACAGAATTACTGTTCTTTCTTCTAAATTCTACTGGATAAGAGTCTGTAATCCTCCAGCAGCTGTTCACAAATGCTCATTGCCAACTCAACAAGGAATGGATTGTGTCTTTTAAATTGGGCATCTTTGTCATGTTCTTGCTACATTTGATTTTTACACCATACACTTATTTCAATTTAATTCCCACTTGCTAATGAAGCTACATTTAAATAATTCTATAAAACTCATACTCAAATGCAAGACGCTTCTTTACATTTTTGCACCAGTTATTTGGGGAATAGATTTATTTTTTCTCTTAGTTAAAAATGGAACCGAACTACAACAAAGAAATCTGAGGAATACCTAGGGACTTGCTTGCTCTCTTCTCTGTAGATCACTTGCAACTAATAAGAATTAGTGAGCAACACCATTCTTGCATCTGCAGCAGCAGATTACATGATATCAGCTATTTCCTCACAATCTCTGCACTAAAGGCGAGGGTACCTTGCTGGAAAAGATACTGCAGAGAAACAAAGTTGAGTCTACCCCTTGCCTTGCATATGAGACATAATCCTTCACTGTACAAGCTCTAGAGCTGAAGTCAAGTCTGATTAGAGGTTACCCAAGTACAACCTCTGTGACATTCTTCATGCTAATGCAATCAAAATGTAATTTGATCAAAATGGAATTGGAAGAAAAACTCCCACCTGAATAAAGTTAGAAGCCATGAGACGAAGACGGGTTGAAGAGTCTCCTGTTCTGGAAAGCAAACTTGGAAGTGTTTTTTCCACACAATGCGAAGTTTCTAGTTTTCCTAATTTATGCTTCGGTATATATTGTGTAATAATCATTTTTAGAAGTTTCAGGGAAGCTTGAAAAACCTGAATTAAAAGGAGAGGAAGGTGCACTGAACAAAAATACCATAAAGATCCCCCTTTTCAGGCAATACTATAAAATATTTTCTCTAGTTCTAAACAACGACAGCAGGGATCTAGAAATAAGGTAAGACTATTAACAGAAGCTACTTCAGATATCTCTTTTCCAGAAAAAAAATGTGCTTAGTGACCTAGGGAAAAAATTCAGAAATTTATTTTAAATGAATAATTTTTTTCCTCTCTTATTTAAGACCTAGTTGACAGCTAAGTCTCCTTAGGCTAAATATAATCTCCTAAATTGGAGACCAAGTTGGCTCACTATGTCTGCTCCATAGCTTTATTTCAGTTGTTAGAAAAAACCCTCAACCACAGGACTATTTGCTGCAGGAGCAGTTGTTTCTGTCTCCATCACTCAGCCCAGGACGTTACTTCCCATGCTGATGGGAGACAGACTTCACTCTGTCTAACTAAAGGCTGATATCCCAAATTTCCTTTTTTTCATTCACTCCATTCAATGCAGTTTCATAAATTATTTGTTTCAATTATTTTAAAACACATTTTAATTACAGTTACACAATTTTAGTTGTTTGATGTTCACTGGAACATTTTATGATTTAAACTGGTAATTTAAAGATATTTGGCCACTCAGCTGCTATAATAGCAGTTCTAAATAGCACTTCTAAATTCGGTTCTGTCATTTTTTGATGAGCTGAAGTTTACAGAAACCAGGCTGCACCAATCACAATTTAAAAATACTGGAATATCTAGTTTCTCTCCTCTATGTGTGCACGTTCCAAATTCTAAGTGTAAAAACGGTATGAACCCACGTTTTTCTTCCTTATACCGGTAATTTTAAGCAACAAAGCATTTTATAGCATAGGACACACTTTTTTTTTTTATTTTCGTATTTATAATTGTCTCCGCTAAAGCTTGTTTTACTGCCAAGTAAATGCGATCCTACGCTGAGTGGGGCCCTGCCAATTTCCCTGGGCCAGAACAGATGCAACATTTTGCGCAAACCGCAGGCTAGGGAGCTTTTCTTACCAAATGTACCACTACTTACTGAAGACACAATGTCTTTTATGGCTCTCCTTACAAGGAAAATGGCAGCCCTCAGCATGTTCTTTAAATCCTCCTTCGGAGTGCTCACTGACATGTCTGTCAGCTTCTTATGCACAGCAAGCAACGCATCCTCCCGATACGACCATGTCTTGGAATATGCTCCTGAAACCTGAACACAGAGCACGGTCACCTTGCAAACGGCTAACGCTGCTATTTCTGTGCAATATTTATATACAGAAACAGTCTTAGAAGAAAATAGGAAATTAAGTATTCAAATGCCATATCTGTAGGTCTTTGCTCACAGGGTGCTTGCCAATACAGGTTACAGTAATCCATATGTTTATTTTGCCGTTCTTTACCAAGGCTTCTCCAAAGACTTCGACAGCAGGGCTGGCCTCCCTCAGTGCCTTCTCCGTTAACGGTTCCGGCTCGCCGGCAATGCCGCTTCTTGGAGTGTCCCTGCCACCCTCCTCGGTGGTCTCGGGCTCCAGGGATGCAATTCCTTCCTCGGGCTGTTTACGGATAGCTGGAAGAGGTCTTTCATCATAAGGTAAAAACTCAACCTGAACAAAGAAGATTAAGCCATTTCTGGAATAGCAAACTTTGACACGAAGCTGCTGCATCGCTAATTGGATTCACCTCAATTCGATTGATTTCCACCCTCCTCCCCTGTTTAAAGCAGTACCACTTGACAATTAAGCACAGATTAAGTGCACCGGCAGTTCCCACAATAACACCATGAAGAGAGGGCACGGGTGTTTGTGAATACAACAGCTACATCCCTAGGATACAGTTAAACATGTACAAAATGCCTTCTGTGGAAATGAAATACCTGCAGAGGAAGCCCTCCATTGAGGGGAAGTTAGCAAGACAAAGCTTTACTTGTGAAACTATTTTAAGTCAGCATGCTGCTAAGAGAGCACATTACTGCTACTGAAGTCAATGCAAGAAGCTGCAGTTGCAACAAAATAGGCCAATCACAGACACTGTGATTTTCTTCCCCTCCTTAGATGTGACACCCATACTCTTGTTACTTTCCTTACACTCCCCTTCTAGTCTGCTTCTGCAGATTCACACAGTAGCGTCTCTAAGAATAAGATTTATTAAGCCATTAAGGAAGCAGACAGAAATCTGCTGCCTATTCTCCCAGTAAATTGGCTGTGTGACCTCTGATTAATCATTTAGTGCCTATTTGATTCCATTCATCTACTTGTAAATCAGGTATAACCCTTATTTATTGCAGACTCAACGAGCATCTGTAGCACCTTCCAAAGTGGTCCAGGGAAGAGAAAGGCTAACAGCAATTATCAGCTGAGCACTGCTTAGCAGCAGGGCCAGTTTCAGACACAAGACATGAGAATAACCACAAGAGACCATGCTGTTTCGGAAGGCTGGATGCAAGATCAATTGCTGTGCTAAATTTCTGCAGAGACAAAAGTACATTACTCACATTATCCTTAGGAAACTCTTCCCCTGAGGGATGAGCCACAGGAGGAGATTGGTGGGGAGCAGTGGGCTCCGGAGAAGTGCACTTTGCTGCCTTCTCTTCCAGCAAAGGCTCTGCTTTCCGTGACTCGCCTTCCTGTGGCTCTGTTTTCTCATGAGGAGGTGAATTTATGGCTTTTGTGTGCTGAGAACTACCAGCACAAATCACAGGCTCCAAAGGCAACTCAGGTGGTCTTTGAACCTGAGAAAGGCAAGGAGATTTTGTAAACCAAGGTGACACATTGTACTAAAATTAAAGCTATTACAGCTACAACTTTAACAGTCACCAAAACTTCTCCTGCTTTCCAATGAATACTAGACCTCATTCACAGTGGTGCAATTACTGCACTGGATGCAGCTTTATGAAACAATTGTGAAAAAGAAAAAAAAAAGTTACTCTGTGCGTGTGAGAAACAGATAGACAGAGAGTGCGAGTCTGCAAGCAGTCCCCATTCTGAGAACAGTAAAAGATGTACCTTATGCTTCTTCACAGGTCACTAATTACACATAAGCCTCTTTTATCCACAATGAGAAATACTTCAAAATATGAGAAACTAACTTATGAATGGGGACTGTCTAGCCCTGAAATAATGCAAAGCATTTGGGAGTCTGATGCTATTAGGTTTAAGCATTAACATTGTAATTTATGGAGAACTAAGCATGTTCATAAAATGCCATGTGCAAGTCTTTTGTTGGGAAAATTCACAGTCTAAAGAAAATCTTTACATATTGTCATATAATACTTGTGCAGGGCCATCATTTTGGCTGCTCTGCCATCTCCATTCACAATAGCAACCTGATAAAGCATTCAGAATTCAGAATAACAATAGCCACCATCAGCTCTGGATCCAGAAGGTCATGCAGCTCCAGTTGCTGGTACACTTTCAGGCGATACTCTTCCATTTGCTGTTTCTTCTTTTTAGCAAGATCATAATCCTCCTTCTCCACAGCATAGCGTTTCTCTACCTCATACCGTCCAAGTCGTTCCCCTACCTGGAAAATGTTTTAATAGGTTAGTTTGGAGTCACGTTATTGTATATATGCCTGTGTTTCAGTATTTGCAGTCAAATTTAAAATCAAGTTGTCTGATTTATCATTACTATTTTCAAAACATACTGAGAACACTACAATTCTGCTTTAACATTAAGGTTAAAGAGTGCCTAGTGGGCCAGTGGAAAGCTGTTGTGTCTAAGAGATAATCCCCAGTTTGGTGGTACCTTTTGCAGGTCTGCGATAGCTTGTTTGAGTTTCTTGGCGTAATCGTAGCGCTCCTGACGGACAGCCTCGCGCTTCTTCTCATCAAGCCTGCGGATTATCTGAGCAACTTCTGGATCTTGGTACATGTCAAAAGCCAAATCATCCAGAGGTGAAATGGAGTCAGGCTTCCTGAAGAAATCAATTCAATAAAATAAGGTTTCAGCTAATTCAGAATACCAGGTAGAACGTATGACTTTTTTTTTCCCCCCACTACTTGGGAACTAGGAAAATATAGAGATTGAGAACTAATTTAGAGTGACTAAACATTTTGCTAGGGTATGCACAAAACAGCACCCTTACCCGAAGTATGTTCCATCCAAGGCTGGATCATCTGATTTGATTCCTAAGTAGTGGTCTATCAGCTTCTCTCTTGAAGTCTTTGTGGGGAAACAAACAAAATCTTAATGCGTTTCAGCAACATCACATGCACATTCATGACTGGAACTACGACTTATAACAAACAATACGAGCTCTGAGCCTTGGCACACTTCTGTCTGGTCACATAGACATAGATGAACTTTGAGAGGCTGAAAATGGAGGTGTTTCAATGTTTTGTTTTTTGCTTCCACAAAGGGGTGCAAACTTTATCAGCGCTTTCTTGCTTCAAAAGTAAATACAAATGGATATATAGCAACTCTGCTAAAGCACAGAACTATTAGAAGATGCCATCCGTTATTTCAGAAACACTGCAACGGAACACGTGTAGCAATACTAAAAAGACAGGCATGCTTTCTATTACACACTTACATTATTATTGCTGTCATTACTGTAGTCTGCAGGTTCTCCAATGATATTTATCGCTACTAGGGCAACCTGAAAGATTTAAAGAAGCTGTAAATGCACAAGTTATTATCTTTTCTTCCTATCCTATGAAAATTCAAACAGTGTGCTTAAATATATTTGTACAACTAGTCACCAGTTTGGGCAGGTATTTCCTCAAAAGTATAACCTACTGAAAATCATCAGTTGGTGATTCATACAACTCATCTGCCCTTTTCTTAGCTTTACTTAAATAAGGGAAAAGATATAATTCTTAATAGTGATTACAAAATTAATCTAAAAACAAATATTTGGCAAAATTACTTTGGATGTTAACATTATTATTCACCCACTTAATTGCTGAAAGTTTTAGATATCCTTTTGTTTTAGAAGAGACCATAATTAAAATCAAGAGCTTTCAACTGAGCTTTCAAGAGCATTTCTTGTTTCTAGAAATCAAAGGAGAGGATTTCTATGGCTGTCCTATACTACTGAAGTTTCTTTCATGTAGCTGATCAAGTAAGCACTCAAATTTAACTTACTTGACTGTATAGGTTGTATTTATTGACATAATTCTTGTGGAAAATCAGCTTTAGGTACTGGCCAACTGCATCCATGTATACGGATTTTAACTCTCGTGCTTTAAATCCAGTCTTTTCATTATCTGAGAGAGGGACGTAACTGAAAAAGAAAACTTAACAGGTAAGCAGGTAAAATGCCATTGTGTTCTGGCTCCTCAAATTAGCATTTTTGTTAACTTCTAGAATTTGCTCATGACTGAAGCAAAGTACATTGTCATTTGACAAAAGTGTTCATAATGTGCAACATGTCCTTAAAAAACATCATCACCATCATCTGTGCAGCACTTTACAGACTTACTTCACAGCAAGGGAGGGGTCCAAAGTGGGTCCAGTGAAGCACAACACAGATAAGACACCCAATAATCAACACACGTGTTCTCTTTTCAGTGGATGCGCTATGTCCTTGGGTAAGTGCAAAGATGAAAATACGTCCAATGCGTCAGAGAGAGATAACTGTGGAGCTAGTGAGGGGCTTCAGAAAGCTCTCGAGGGCTGCAGCTGCCTTCTGTGATCTGAACACCTCGAATACAACTCTATCCCAAGTAACACCTGTCTCTTTGGCTTTGTTTCAGTTCTACCCGAGCATGGAGACAGCTCTGGACTGCTTGCAGGACAGCGTATCAGTACTGCCTGCAAAGCATGATGAATACCGCGACCTCCTAGGCCTTTCTGATGAAAGTAAGGCAACCATTTAGAGTGTTTTGACTTACCCTAGTCTGTGAAACCTCTCTGACTGATAAGGAGCAAAGTATTCAGGCAAATTTTCACTGATGTAGAACTCAATTTTGCTTGAAATCATATATTGGTGAGCAAGCAACTGTAGTTTTCGTATTCGACATCTTTCCACCAACTGCAGAACAATTTCCTGTGGATACTGACAGAGTCTGAAAACATACACAGTTTCTGAGTCATCTTTAAAGATGTTCTGCATCAACATTTAAACATAAAGTCTTCCACAGTTACAATAGTTGAACTTAACAAACTTTATAAACATAAAAAAAAATAACAGAACAGAAAGTGTCTTCCTCTTCATTTCAGTTTGTATGTGTTAGAGCGTGCCATATGCATCAACGGAAAGTGCCAATAGGATTAGTTTTTTTAATATTAAGCTAAAGAAGTTTCAAAGCCCAGGAAAACTGCAAAAGCAAAAATCATTCCTTCCTTTTTTTTCATGTGATGCTACACCTTTAGAGGGTAGCCAAGACCTATTTCATAATAAGGATTTTATAGGATCAGAGTAACCCAC